CACTCATGACTCAGCCCGTGACAGCAGGAGCTAAATTTGTTTTCAATTGTTTTTAATAAAATACTTGTCGATATCAGCTTGCTCCGATCTAAAAGATCATATTGTTTTTGTTTTGTTGTTTGTTTTTGTTAAGAAAAACATAAAATACTCGATGTCTTATAAATTCTAAAGATACAAGAGTGTCGCAACTCACAAGTGTCAACTTATTGTGACATTGTTGCGTGGTCATTGATCGAGTTCTTGTGGCAACTACGGGTTTCAACTGGAAGCCAATTAACAACGTCCGTTTCGTTTGATCCTTTTCAACATAGGCACAAAATTGCGTTGTTATATTTATCTTTTGGAAGTTTGGAAGTTTAGTAGCCTGGAGAGTGCGCGGCTTTGTGGATAAGGACTGGTCCGACAGGAAGTTTGGTCTGACTGGAGATGTGGTTGTTCGGTTGGTTGCCTCCAGAGAGTGCCTTTGTGAGGTCGAGCACTCGCAAGGAACTCTACAAAATTCAGGGGAGAGGTTTTGTATCAATTTATTTAGGATCACTGTGGGGTGTGGCGTAGTATGTAGTACTTTACCCACCACTGGTTACATAGATTTGACAATCATGCTCATTGTCAAGAGGCGGTAAGGGGTAGCTTGCTTGTGACAGATATGCTCATCATGTATAAGGGCCAGCTGTAACTGGACAGGACCAGCTGCCATAAAATTCAGACAATTTGATTCTATATAAAGCATGCTTTCGTAAAAATTTCACTCAGAATGTCTGGTATATATGTCACAAACAGCTGCACTTAAACCAGTGTCTGTATTTAGAACAACAATGACGTGCATCGAGTGATATCAATGAACAACAGTACAGCACCAAAACGTGCTGGAGCCTCTCTGCGTACACCGGGACTGACTACTATCTGTATCAGCAAGTACGGGGAAAATATCTCAATTTCTAGTGAAACAGCGACGCCTCTACTATTCTTATAACTAGTGTAGATCTCTATCTATTTCTCCCTCACTCCCTCTCGTGCGCTCTTTCTCTATCTCTACAGTAGACAACTATGTATGCACATAGACTCGCTCTACACTCTCTCTGCTCTAGTAGATAGTACCCATGCGCCCGAGGGCCGAGTGTCGAGTGCCCCGGCTATCCGCTCAGAAGAAGAATAAAAATATTATATTTAAAATGTGAAACCTCGTATTTCGTAATATCATGACATCATCCGTAATCGCCGTCACAAGAATTGTTCTCACTTTATCAACAAATATATGCAAGGCCTTCTTGTATAATTTAGAAATATATGGGTCATAAAAATACAGTGCATGTATAAAGATTATAAAAATTTACGTCATTCATAGCACAGATTACGTTGTGGATATATGTGTTTTCATTGATTAAAATGAATACGAGAATAGCTAATTACTATTAGTTATGATCTTTGGAGTTAGAGTCAAGGACTCTGAAGTCTGAGTCTCTGAGTGACTGAGTTTTCCTAACCTCAAGAGACTCATGAGTCAAGACGCAAGTTAGATTTTTGCATACTCATTGCCTTTTTTTTATTTTTTAAATAAATATGAAAATTATAGCCTGGGCTGAGACTGAGAGCCTGTGAGAGGCTGAGACCTAAGTCACCTGCTGAGTCGGCTGACTGTGAGAGTGGGGCTTCAGTCATCAGTGTCGAGCCCTGGGTCCTGGGCCCCTGACAGTGGTCAAGGCTCAGAGTCTCAGATAATTAGACCCTCACTCAGAGTCGACTCCACACTACATTTTGTTAAATAAATAAATAAATAACAGCACAGTATATATAAACGGAGTCAAAGAGACAGAGACTCTCAGACTCTCAGTCTCTAAGTGATTCAGTCTCGACTGACGACTGATGAGTGACGACTCTCGTGACTCGTCTCGTCTCACAGAGTCTCAGAGAGGAACAAACTCACAGTTATACATACTGTCAAAATCTGAGACGAATCACGAAACTCGATAAAGAAACTCAGACTCTCCCCAGACTCGGAGTGGGTGACAGGCAGTGACCCAGTCCCCAGTCCCCAGTACCTACTCCCCACTCCCCAGCAGTGACCAGTCTCCAACTCTCCACAACTATACACAGACACAGTTATTTATTTATTTATTTTAAATATATGTACACACTCACAGTGACCAGAGCCTCGTGAAACGGTGAAAGTGTGAGGTTGTGAACTTGTGACACTGTGACAGTCTCACTCACAGTGCTCAGCAACACTACAAGAAGGCGTTTAAATAAAAAAGGCGATGACTCATCTGGTGAAAATAGTAACCAATGAGAGTCTCTTGGACTGTGTAAGAAGTTTTTTGTTTCAAACCAAAATAGAACTAAAGTTAGACGTGAATGAAGACAATCGATTGGTCCACATTCCACAACTCCAATTTCTAACTTACAAGTTCCACAAGAGACAAAACAGCAACACAAGTTGGCAACCAGCATTTCCATTTCCCGGAAAAAAACGAAAAACCTGAGTTCCTCGTAGTAATTTTTAGTCGTTTTTTTGTAATCTCGTAGTCGCATATAGTCGCATTGGTTGACGACAATAAACTATAAAGTACTTTCGATAGACATTCGACAGCGATTTTCATCTGAGACCTGCACAGTGCAGAAGCAGCCCGCAGGTGGGCCAGACGGTCAGCCTCTGGTGGGCCTGGCCGCCTGGCTGGGGCCCGGGGCCTGGGGTCTCTAAAATATGTATAAAAAAAATCCCGAGTTGTCGTTGTCAGTTTGCGAGTTTGAGTTGACAGTTGTCACTTGTCACTCTTCTTGTCTTAACTCGCAACAAGTAAAAATACCTTCTAACCACCTATTGTGCACTCCACAATCCATATTGACAATACCGAGTAAATACAGTCAACAGTGTATTTACACTTGTTATTTTGCATTTTTTTTGTTAAAAAAAAGTAGAATTTGTATTTGTTGTTTATTACATATTTATGTACATAGTATTTACTACCTGATGTTGTATAATTTAATAGCAGGCTATGTACTGACAGTACTATATATACAGTTAGGTTAATACGTAAGTAAATACATGTCGAACGACCATCATATAGTGCGACAGGTAATTTTGATAAACGACCTCAATCAGCCCACAACACACAACTGACAGCTGGTCTCTGAATCTAAGTCGCAGATTTCAACGAGGCCTACCCGAGCTTGTAGAATGTTGAGTCAAGTGAAATTGTATTGTTATGGACAATGTCGCCTTGAGCAACAGCGATAGGGTCTAAATTATGAAGTCGTGCATGTGTGCAGTTTTCGTGCAGTTTTCGTGCAGTTTTCGGTTCAAGTAGTCAAGCTTTTTTTTTAGTGTTCAAGTATATATATTGGCAAAATGGTGAAGTTGTTTGTATTTATAACCCTTGGGCGTGCGAAGGCTCGATTTGAATCGTGTCATGCAGTGATGACAAACATATTTAAATTTTATCGGGATATTTTATCGGGGATAGCCACCAGCGAGAAAATGCATCAGTAATCAGACAAATATAATTTAAACTTTATCGAGGATAATCACCAGCGAGAAAAATGAATTAGTAGTCATTGCTCTTCTATCGTGATTTGCATTTCGCATGCTGCATCGTGAGGCAGACTGTTTGACGTAGCATTTACTTGAAGCAGTGAATTGTCCAAAATAGACTCGAGAGTATCTGCCGCAGTGTATCGGTGGGCTTATTTTTATATCTCAAGACTGGGCCCTATTATGATTGAAATATACTGCAACTAGATGTGAACTCAATTTAACGTGAACAGTAAAGGTTCAGTCTCTAAGCGGGTGCAGAGGGCAGGGCTGGAAAGGAGTCAAAGGACATAAATATTTGTAGTCGTATCGAACACCAGAGAGAAACTGTTCTCACAAAACTGACGAATGGCCTAATTTGGCTATGTAAACATTTTATTTTTTTTATCCAGATATACATAAATATATATATATATATATATATATAAATATGTTCTGTACATACTACATATTATTTTTATAACCAGATATACATAAATATATATATATATATTTTTTTTAAATATGTACTGTACATACTACACTTTTTTTTAACCAGATATACATAAATATAAATATATATATTTTTAAATATGTACTGTACACACTACATATTTTTATAATTCCTTTTCGCTCGACGAACAGATTTTGCCTTAGGGGGGGGGGCTGTGATTTTATCGCCGTTTCCAACTTTGAACTTTCCACACAACAAGTCCAAAAGTAAATCCAATCAGAAATAGTCTAGCGGTTTTGCGAAGTGGATTTTAAAATAGTTTACGTCTTCCATCATTTTTTTATCTATTTTAGAATGTCGCCGAAAGAAAAAGACAAAGTTATGTGGGCTAAAAAAAAAAACACAAACACTCTGTGTGCGTCCATGAGTGACCATGACTCTACGTCTCTATGAACGTTATTGAACGATACTCGCAGCAGTATTTTTTTAAATAGTAATACTGTATGTGTACATGCACCGAGTGTCCGCGAGTCTACACTCTACAGTCTACACTACAGTCTATAGTCTACACTCTACACTCTACACGCTACACGCCACACTCCTTCTCACTATGCAAGTCACAAGAAGTCTATACTCCGACTCTCTCTATTGACTATAGAGAGTCAAGTATCTAAAGGTCTCTATACTGTACTATACTTTATCTTGGTCTACACTCTGTAGAGTGTTGACTATAGACTATAGTCAACAGTCAACACTGTGACTAACGGACTATTGTCAATTGGTCATCATAGGGCGCAACAAAAAGGTAGAGAAATAGAGTGAGAGCGATTGGTGGACACAAGGATTTACGATTCAAACGCTGTGGAATCTTGTCGAATTTCTGTTTTCTTTCCGCACACTGGAAACAAGTGTTGTTTTTAAAAAAAGCGAAATTAATTTTTATTTCATTTTTAAAAACAAATATACGTCGATAGTATTTTTTTAATAATTTATAAATATATAAAGCGCAATGATTTAGCTCTTGTACATTCATAATATCTTGTAGTCTAAACATTTAAACACAAAGAGATACTCATTCAATTAACAATATGTCTGCGCCATCATCCTTCCTCGAGAAGCTCCTTAATATGCTCGATGATCATAAAACGGAGGATCAAATTGCATGGGCTGCAGACGGTGCCTCATTCCACATTTTCAACCCGGAATCGTTCGCTAAAAACATACTGCCCCGGTACTTCAGGCACAACAAATTCGCCAGTTTTGTGCGTCAATTAAATATGTATAATTTTAGCAAGATTCCTGTGGATAACGCAACAGCACGTGGAAATGATAGTACAGTACGATTCATGAACCGATTGTTTGTACGAGGACGACCTCATCTTCTATCTGAGATGAAGCGAAAGTCAGGGTCTGTGACTAGCCACGAATCCACCGCGACCTCAGAGAGTCTCAACGTGGCAATCGAACGCTTATCAAAGACACAGTCCGACAACGCGCACAAACTCCACCTATACGAGAACGAGAAAGACTGTTTGACGCTAGAAGTACAAAAGTTGGGTGCTGCCAGCTATCAACAGGATAAAACCATCTCTCAGATCATGACCTTCCTATCGTCAGTGTATGGACCAAATAGTGAAAACAATCAGATACTGGGCATGAACGACGACCCCTACAGGATCAGCCCAAGACAAGAATGTCTGATGTTGAACAGCTATGAACAGTGCTAGCGTGTATTATGTTGAAGAATTATTACAAACCGAGCGAATCTTCGCAAGAATGATTACATACAATCTCTATCCACCGGTGGAGCCAGTGGAAATATTTCAGCTACTAAGTACTTTAGCACAAATAAATTAATAAATACATCACCTCGCTGTGAACTCGCCTTGTGTACATTATTTAGTGCATCACTTATTCTTTCGTTGCGATATCAATTTCACGCCGATCATATATATAAATCTGGTGAATGTGCGATGTTTCAGTTTCCAATTTTCAGCATTCTTTGATTTACACGAAGTGTGTGAGCTTGCTCCTCCCACATCCTGACTGTCCAGGCCTCAAACTAGATTAGCAGTTACACAATAAGTGACCAACAGAAATGTGTGCCCTGTGCGGAAACAGAAGTGGATTTACGAATGCAAATGGGAAGCCAAGAAATGCAATACGACATTCGACTACCGTTTGCTAGTGGTACTGAATGTATTTATTTTACTTCCCAAGATCATACATGTCACTTACAGCTCCAGATATGTAGCGAAGTCGCTACTTAGCCGTAATCCAGTTGTGCGCATTGCTGTGAGGCAGGGCCCAGCTATTGCTTGACGGCATCGAACACTTACTATTCGGCCCTATTATTACGCATATTCTGAATGACTAAGCGAACGGTCACCTGCTGGACACTTTGTTCTCGTCAGGGACGGGGATACCGACCTAAACACAAGAGCTTGCAACGAGGGTGAGCAGATAATAGAAATATACTGATAAAAGAGTATATGCAATACACCTCCAATTCGTGAGAAGCTGAAATGACCTCTTATACAACCCTGAACCCAATATTCGGAAGGTGTTTGAAGCTCGCATTAAAACGATTGAAGCACAGCATAAAACCGTATAATGGTAGACGGATCCATGGCTCGGGGTTCGAACACCAACAGCTTGCATTGCTATAACGGCATGTATATCAATAAACACCTTTTAGATTGGACCAACGTGTGATGGCGACAGACGAAGTCGTGTGAATTTATTAGATCCGCCTGTGCAGCAGTTTATGTTTAATCAATTGAGCCGTGTTTGCTATTGCGCACGCATGTGTGTACAGTCAGATGATCAGAGTGTTGAAACCTGGCAACCCATCCAGTAATTACAGGTATAGGGTCATTCGCTTGAGTGCACGCATTTGTGGTACACCAACGTAGCTACTTGCGCAAAGGTGTCACCACACCCAGGATACTCACACGCGTAGAGACGTTCGCCCGTGTGCATGCGTTCGTGTCTTATCAAATCACAATTGCGAGTACACCCCATGACACACCCAGGATAGTCACACGAGTAGGGACATTCGCCCGTGTGCATTAGTTTGTGATCTGTCAAATTGTCATTTCGAAAACCTCCTGGCACACCCAGGACAGTCGCACGCATAGGGACGTTCGCCCGTGTGCATGCGTGCGTGTCTTTTCAAATCACAATTGCGAGTACACCCCATGCCACACCCAGGATAGTCACGCATAGGGACGTTCGCCCGTGTGCACACGCATATGCACCCTCAGATTGTAAGCATCGGCACATGTTTGACCACAGTTGGGCCACTCACAAGCGTATGGCTTGACTTTGGCAGACGTCGATCCAATAGTACGGACCAATAAACTGTTTGCGGAACGGAGCCTGTGCGATACAAATGTGTATATTGATGGACTATGTTGGTGACATAGATGCGTATGATGGTGAAGCCTATGTGATGCTTTCAGAAAACGTATTTTGATAATGACCGCAGAGTGTTGCTTGCCTGAGTATCTGACGGACAGTCGCGCTCTCTATATACAGAAATACATCATATGATAAACCTACAACCAAAGTGTGTGCAGCTACAGGGATGGCTGTGAAATATAGATATACACAAAGAGTGACTGGTCTCTTGGATGTTTATTTTGATCAATAATTTGCAAGAGCAACACAGAATAGAATGAGGTTTACCTGATATACGCTAGTAATTTATAATGGAAAAACCATGACAGATCATAGGTAAACATAAATAGTAACGACAAATAAATGTTTTGCACAAAACCGAGATTTCACATGCACTTTTATTCAACCGTTCTCTGCGAGGCACATGTCGTCCTATCTGTCAATAATTCTCAGTGGCCCGGTACAACAAGAACATACTGCCATTAATTCAATTACATTCAATGAATAAAGGTACTATCCATATCGAGCATAATCTATAAGTATAAATTTATATCTATATATATATAAATTTATATCTGTATCTATATCTATATCTAT